AGATTTATAATATTTTTTTTTTAATTTTTCGATTGTTAATTTAGAAATGATTAGGAAACTAATGTTCCGAAACCCGGAGGCAAAGTTTACATTAGTTGAATTTGGATTTAGGCCCCTTTGGTTATAAAGCTCTTCACGTGGTTTGGTTTTATACGACCTTTGCTTTCACATTTTCGGGTTTGAGCGTTCTAGATGAAAGTAAACCAAAAAGCGCTTAGGACACACGAATTATAAAATTTTTCATGTTCTTTTACCAACACTGGTCGATACCAATGCTGGCGGACTGATAGTCAGCTCTGTATTAAAAAAAATAAATTATACTACCTTTTTCTCAAATGAGGATGAAACTAATGTTCCGGGACCCTGAGACAAAGTAACTCCCTAGATGAATTTTGCTTGTTCCCTTACTCTTTATAGATATAAGAAGATGTGGTATGAGAGCCAATGAGACAACTCTCCATCCAAGTCAAAATTTATAAAAGTAAACCATTATAGGTCAAAGTACGGTCTTCAACACGGAGCCTTGGCTCACACCGAACAGCAAGCTATAAAGGGCCCCTAAAATTACTAGTACAAAACCATTCAAACGGAAAAAACAACGGTCTAATCTATATAAAAAACGAGAAACGAGAAACACTTATGAACCACATCAACAAACGACAACTACTGAACATCAGATTCCTGACTTAGGAGAGGTGCAAACAATTGCAGCGGGTTTAAACGTTTTAATGGTACCAAACCTTCACCCTTATCTGAAACAATAGTGTAACATCACAACATAGAAAGACACACTATAAAATATCAATTGAAATGGCTTAACTCAATCAAAAGACATATTAGACACCAGTGAACATGTTTTGCATTTTATTCTTCCTTTGCTTTCAAATATAAGGTTTGAGCGTTCCTGATGAAGGTAAATGACTGGTCCATACCACTGCTGGTTGATAGTCAACCCAAAATTCAAAGCATACAAGTTGTATGATACTTTTTTCTTAAATTCTTCGTTGATAAATTTAGAAATGATTAAGAAATTAATGTTCCGACTCCTTGAGTCAAAGTTAACCCTAAGACTAGATGAATTTTGCTTGTTCCCTTACTCTTTCAAATATTTCAGCTATTCAAATCTGCTTCATTTAGGCTTTGGTGGATAGTTGTCTTTTTGGCAATCATGACACGTCTCCTTATTATATAACAACTATAGAGAATTTATATTGTTGTAAATACTATCAGTTCAACAGAAGATGTCAAGGGCAACTCGTACTCTTTTTGACCTACAAAGTGCAAATAAACTCACCGTAGATACAAAATACGGTTGTCTGTTTTAATTGTATTTCTACAAAAAGGAGTTATCTATATTGTTTATTTTCGATATCTAAAATTGAACTTTTAGTTAAAATTAGTTATGAAAATATTATAATAACAAACTGTTTTAATTTTGAATAAGAAGGAATAAACATACCATCCCTATTAAGTGCAAGGAATTTCGTCCCGTCTTTTATCAATTCGAGCATGAGAACCGAATTCAGAAAAAATAACTAGGTATTTAGTAGGACTAGTAAGATAGATGAAAGAAAAGCGTTGTATATATAGAAAATCATACCTTATATTTATTTAATTTTTTATAATTCTTTTTTTACACAATAAGTCATCTTAATATCTAAATATTTTTTTGAGATATTGCTATAAACGGTTGTTTTCATTTGTCCACATGGTTTTAAGCCATTTATTGAGATTCATAGAAGAAAAGAAACAATCCTGTCATGAAAAGATTACAGTTTCCACGCAACCTTAGAAATGCATGACAACATTTGATGATGATATATACCGCGAAAATGAAATACATTATGTCGTGAAAGAGATGAGAAGCCATCAGAAGAATTCAGGAAGCAGCGTTTAAATGATGCAGTTTTATATTATTTAGAACATGCAAATAATGATTTTAAAAAACCTGAGGGATTGCACGAACTCAAAGAGAAAGCGAGACAGGGTTCGTCAACAGGACAACACAATAGTGTCTACTTATGTAATCACCTCTCATGATTGTTACCGCGGTGAATATAATATTTTATCAAAGAAGATTCCATATGCTCTTATCCAACTAGAAAAGACATTTTATTGTCATATAAAAAGTGTTTTTTAAACAAAAAACTTATACATGTATTTACTGAGGCTATAGATGAAAAGGTCCTTCAATTTTACAAAAGTCGATGGAAAATTTTCATGTCATCAGACATATTAATAAAACTTTTGTTTATCTAAATAATCTAGACATATCAGGTAAACATTCTTTCCTTTTTATAACATTTTGTCTTATTTTCATACATAACTAGGGGCGATATGCATATTGAACTTAATATAAACATAAGGAGACGTGGTATGATTGCCACTATACTGAGACTACGTTCTACCATAGACCAAAGGACATGAGCACACAATTACAAATCACCATACGGCCTTCAACAATGAATAAAACATTCATACTGTACAGCTAGCAATAAAAGGCATAGGTGTGGCAAAATGTGAACCCAACGGTCTGAATTGTACCAAAACAATTATAACAGAAAGAAACAAACGACAAACACTAGATAACTCATGGCTTGGAACAGACACATAAAAGATGTTTGTGAGCGCTCTACCCTTCCTAACCTTGGACAGTGCTGTAACAGTACAACGTAAAAACTAATTGTAAGATCATTCGGAAAGGGTTTGACTTACAAGTTCGGTACTAAGCATAGACACAACTAACAATGAGACAAAAGACACAAAGTCCCGAATTAAGAGTACTCACAATTACTGAAAGCTAGTTCAAAGCCCAATTTCAACTTATCATTAACCATGTTTTCCCAGACCTAAATATCAATCAGTACCCCTCCAGCGAATTATATAAGTATAAGCAGATGTAGAACCATAGGTATTAATGACTAAGAACTAGTGTATGAAACTATTAAAATTATTATCAATGTTAGTGCCAATAACGAAAATATTCAATGATCTTTATTCAAAAACGACAACCTGATGTTATTCAAAGCACCAATTAATATACATGGATTGATCAGTTCTCTGTTCATGTTCCCCTTTATTTTTAAAGTTACGTTAAATTCGTAATTATTCGTGGGATACCTTTCGTGAATTTTGTTGCTAAACGTCACTCACAAATTTTAAATGTTGAACGAAGTATAAACTTTCTATATATAGATATAAGAAGATGTGGTATGAGTGCCAATGAGACAACTCTCCATATATATGTTGGAATAAAGACATTGGTGAAACAACGAAATCAATTATCAACGAAAATATTTCTTAATCAATTAAAATTAGTACCCATGTAAATAAATAAATCCACAGTATTGTTGAGTTGCTATGTTATTAATTGCTACTCTGCATCTCCTGAAATTTTAGAACCCACTTTGGGGTCAATTTAATGTCTTTATTATCAAATAGCATGTAGAATGTTCATAAAGCAATTTAACAATTTAAATCCTTTTCTTGTCATTTTTACATGTATGACGATATTGTCAAAACCTAAAACATATCTTGTTTCACTTGTCAATTTGTTGGTGCTTTATTATGGATGAATTGTTTCTTCTGTTTGGACTTGAATGCAACAGAAAGGAAATACTCATTATAATTGTTTATCAAATTTGATGTCACTGTTATAAATGGATCAAAACAGATAGAAGATACTAGGAAATAATCATTTTTTTTATATTTTCAGATGGAAGGCAATCTTACAGGGAAGTCAGTATGGTCTCTGATGGTTTTGGTTCTTTTAACATACCATTGGAAATTTGTAACCGGAGAGTTTGCTGGTGACGATATAGTTTTAGGCAAGTAAAGAATATACGCTTTTGAATATGTTTTTTTATGCCCCACTTATGGGCATTATGTTTTTTTTTCGGTCTGTGCGTCCGTTTGTTCGTCCGTCCGTTCGTTCGAGTGGGACATCCATGTACTATGGTCACATTCTTGATGTAACTATTATCATTTGTTTGATAGTCGTCAATCTAATTATCATGCTTGTTTCCCGATACTGTCAAACAAATAACTCGTTATCACCACTCACTCCATGCTGATTTTGCACAACCGGTAACTATCTTCCACTTTACTCCGTCAGATTCTTTGCTCGTATATCATCTGAAGACATCCAATAAAGGGTAATGGTCAGTGACCCTTTTCAAACTATCCAATCTAATCTCTTCCTACACACATTTTTGGATTTTTTTTACTATGGTCTATCAAAAATATTGTCGGATAAACTCCAAAATTCTATGTTCCAACTATTTCCTGAATGTATGTTCCGACCTGATTGCAAGCATCGCTTTACTTTAAAAACAGTAAAGTTTTTTCTTTTCATTTTTAGCTCACCTGGCCCAAAGTTTGAATTTAAATATTGAGCTTAATTGTTGTTATTGCAATTGCCATGATTGCATATTTGAAGAAATTCTCACACAATAACAGCATTTACACTTCGCTGTTTATTGACTCCTTCAAATTTTACTGCTTGAGATGTGCATTTCAACAATGAATTTTATCTCTTCGGTGATGCACTAGGCAAAACTTGTAAATTATAACTTGCAAAACAAAAAGAAGAATCATGAAAGAATATACAAATACAATCCGATAAATCGATTATTGGATTTTCGTCATATTGAATGAATGAATATTTTTTTATTTGCAAAAGCATACAGAACATGCTATGGCAATACATAATATATACACAATGTGACAAAAGACTGATAGCAGAGAACAATACAATAATAACATAACTATAATAACATATTGATATTGTAATATATCAGTTGCTCGACATAATCGTGACAAAGCCCCTTTTCTAAGATCGTTCCCTGCGCTCGCTCGATAAAAACTTCTTAGTATGACTCACAGCTGATGTTTTACAGAATTATTATGCAGAAAGCCTAAGAAAAGATAGACACATACAGATATACTTATTCAAAACACTTGTGATTCATTAAATATTTTATATCTATTTATATTTTCAGAGGTTGACAGGGCAATAGGTGGTTATGTTGCAACAACAGCTGTGGAGAAAATGCTTGAAATAAACGGAATGTTGGAAAACATCGCATCAACATGCAGCGCAAAAGTAGAATCAGAATATAAACTCTGCGAAGCATGTACTGAGTTGAGTACGAAGACATGTAACCCACCGCCGTGAGTAATTCAATATTTAGATATATTTGTATTAATGTTTTGAATATGAAAATCTTCAAGTGTTCTATATATTAATTTCATTATGTTTCAAGATGTTGTTGTTTATTTAAATTTTTCTCGTTATATATTCCATGTTTTCAAAGATAATTCTTCTCTCGAGATGTATATATCAAAGGATTATCTTCTGGTATAAACTACCATAAGAAATTGTACACCAAATTCTTATGAATTAAGGTTGCTAACTTAATTGATTATATAGCTGTTCAACATTTTAGGTTTTATAAGTCCTTGGCTTTCAAATATTCGGCTTTGAGCTAACCTGATGAAGTTAAATCCAGAAAAGCGCTTCGGACGCCTTAAATTTATAACTTGTTGTTTTTCATCTTTTGAAGGTTTATGAGAGAATGACATACAATCGGAAAATCAGATACATACTCTTGGAGGTTAAACTATGTTACACAAGAATCTAGCAAAAATTTTGGGATTTTATGAATAGCAAAGAAGCTAGTTTCATTCAAATGTGTACATCTACAGCTGACTATGCGGTATGGGGTTTACTCATGGTTGAAGGCCGTACGGTGACCTATAGTTGTTAATTTCTGTGTCTTTTAGTCTCTTATGGAGAGTTGTCTCATTGTCAACCATACCAAGACAATCTAGCAACTGATGAAATTATAACCATTTTAAAGATTAATCTATTGATTCCTTATTTATGAATTTTGGAGCTATATGAAACATATTGAAACCGAATATCTGATTTAGGGTTAAAAAATTGTATTGTGCTAGCTTGTGGGTAAACATTGAAGAGTGGGTAATATCTTCCAGTTACTATGATAAAATAAAAATTATGCACGAATACTTAGGTACAAAATGAGGGGACAGACGGATTGAATAAAAACTTATTGCGCATGACGGAAACCTTTCAGATGTTGGCATTTTCTTACAATTTAGATTTGCTATTTTGGTAAGTTGACAATGAGACTATTTCTTCTAGCTTTCCTTATATGAAGTTTGGTTTACAAGATAGAAAAATATATTGAAAATTTACTTTTTTTTTTGCAGAAACCCTTTAAAAGAATTGTCAGTTCTTATTTTCTCGTCTTACGTTCTAACGGTGTCTGCCACTGAAGTCATAGTGTCGAAGGCTTCAAAAGCTCTTGATCGGTTCGGTAAAGATAGTTAGAAATACCTTGAAACTGTTGGTAAAACGGCAGAAAAACTAGGAAAATCTGTTCTTAGAGGTGGAGACAGATTGTTTAAATCGACTGGAAAAAAACTGAAAGAAATGGGAAAAAGATTAGAAGACGTTTCAAAAGATTTATTAAAAAAAAGTACAAAAGGACTAACACATATATCTAAGCAAATTGCTACAGGTATTAAAGATACGTTAAAAGGCCTTAAGAAAACAACTAGGCCACTCATAAAAGGAACTGTTAAAATTTTGAATACTGTTGGAAAAACTGCAGGAAAAGCTGTCAAGGATTTGGGCAAGGGTATCTCTAAAACGTTATCAAATACAGCCAAATTAGTAGGAGGTGCTGTAAGGAGAATACTTAACACTCGACTACCTCGGATATCTTACCGTCTTCCACGAGTACGACTTCCTCGGGTATCTTTTCGTGCTCCACGCATACATGTACGACTTCCTCGAGTATCCTTTCGTGGTCCAAGTAAGTAAATAGATATAAGAAGATGTGGTATTAGTGCAAATGAGACAACTCTCCATCCAAGTCACAATTTGTAAAAGTAAACCATTATAGGTCGAAGTACGGTCTTCAACACGGAGCCTTGGCTCACACCGAATAGCAAGCTTCAAACGGGAAAACCAACGGTCTAATCTATATAAAAAACGAGAAACGAGAAACACTTATGAACCACATCAAGAAACGACAACTACTAAACATCAGATTCCTGACTTAGGGCAGGTGCAAACAAATGCAGCGGGTTTAAACGTTTTGATAGGTACCAACCTTCACCCTTATCTGAAACAATAGTGTAACATCACAACATAGAAAGACACACTATAAAATATCAATTGAAATGGCTTAACTCAATCAAAAGACATATTAACACAAGTGAACATACACTGAACGAATAAATTTGATCTATGTATAAACATGTTTAAAAAAAATAAATAACTCATAGTAAATACATGCACATCCGAATTATTTTTATTATAGCTGAAATTATAAACTATCAATATTCGCTAAGAATTAATTGTCAGTTCATTATGGCAAATCAAGAGCAAGTAATAGTAGTATCACTGACATATCCTATGTATGAACTGAATACATTTGTAACAAAATATGCTTCCAGGGTTTGGTCGTCGCTGGGGGAAAAAACGAGATACAAAAATAGTGCGTGATATGAGTTGTTCGTGTACTATGTGTGACCCTTTCGAGGAAGGAGTTTCTGAAACGGAAATGACAAAAAGAGGTATGTACACTTCAATTTCGATGATAATAGTTGTGTATGACTCTCCTTCAATCTAAAATTTGTATTTGTATGTATTCTTATGAAAAAGAAAATTATCATGTTATTATTATTATTGGTTTTGCATGCTTCATCATATGTTGTTTAAGTTCTTTCTGTATCTAAATTCTGATAGACAGTATCCATCTCATTAAACCTGAAATACAAGAAAACAGAGATACATTTTAGTCTGTTTTAGATATTGTCTTGTATTTAGAAATCGACAATGAGGGTCGGTTCAGAGCTAAACTACACGACAAGAATTTGATTTTTCAATTGTGAACTATCCATTTCTGTGAAAATACCAGCAGCACCTGCATGTGGAATATATATCTCGTATTCAATACGATATAACGTTTTCTATCATGATTTCACCGCTAACAAGGGACTTTTGCATCAGGAGTTCAAGTAGTAAATTTGAAGTCAACCTACGAAATTTTTACGGATGTCAAAATGATTGTTTGACAATAATTGAATACCTGTTTCACAGTTGACCACGTAAATGTTCCAATTGTCCTAAACACAATCATATCCTTTTTTCTTCGATTGTGACATTACCGAATATGTCTTATTGCCGTAATTTTACTTCCTGCAAATTCTTTTCTCAGTGGTGCTATATGTTTTTCATCGACTCATGTTTTTATTGTCCCATTTGTATCCTTTCTCCTTTGATTTTTTAACCACTATGCCTTAAACGAGAGAAGCGATATAAGATCAAGGTACAAACCCTAAAACTTTTAAAAGGTTGTCCACGCTTGTTTTGATTGTTAAAAATAATTAAAATCAACAACTGTTTTAATACGAGGTTAAAAAAATATACGGGGAATATGAACGATTTCCATTCTGATGTTTATATAGAATACTCATATATACAGTACATTACTGTTAAAGCTTGAGTTAAAAAGGGGAGGGGAAAATTCAGTACTTGTGTGGGAAAACGAAAGATTATCAGTACGTTAAAGAGCCCTGACAACAATTACTGAAAGGTTTTCGTTTTTTCTGTGGGATGTTTGAGTTTAATATAATTTGGGAGGTTTTAAGTTCTAGATGCATGGATTCATTTGGATCTGAAATTATTTTGCTACTGTTATACAGGTGGGAGAATATGGACAGCTTTTAAATACATGTATAATGATCAAGCGTTCCTAAACAGTATAATCACCAGAGATTCTTTTCAAATGGCTTTAATATTTCTTTTGTTATATTGTTGGAAGGCATAATAGACGATGGTATGACTAGTGAGGGTTCAAGCAGCATCATTTTCATTCTTCTTTTTCTTTGTTTTCATTTTTAAACAGACATTTACAATAATCCGAAAATAAAAGATACAAATATTCCCTATCCCCCCAAAAAAGGACACCATACACAACTTTCTGTTAATAGAAAAGAAAGAATACGGGTATCCATCCTTGACACAACATGAATATTTGCACAGCGAAACCAAAAGAACATCGCGTCTATTGGTGTTCTACATCTCAAAAGCACAGTGAGGCTTTCAACACGGATCAAACAAACTCTCACCTCACTGCAAGCTAAAGACGGCCTCTAGCACCGGTTTGAGCGGAATTCTTTGCTAACTGACGATTATGCATCAACTGTGAATTAAAGAACAAAGCCATGGAATTATATCCTGCAAGGTGTTTTTCTTTTACATCAAAATGTTGACTTGTCGACAATTATCTTTGCAAGTTCTTTTTCGATTTTGAAAATTTTTGGTTCTAAAATTATGGGACTCTATCCATCAGATTTCAAGCAATTTTTAAGATGTCACATACTTATTCTAGAATGCTTAGATCAAATTACTATAAATCCTTTATGCTGTTGTTGGGATTGGTGAATGTTTCGACTCAACTTTAGATTTTGAAAATTACAATTTTATACGCATAATCTTATTATCATGCTATTTTTTCTATAAAGCAATTTTAGGGGCAGATCCAGGATTTCTGAAAGGGGTGTAATTCCTTGATTTTAATGATTTTTTAGGGGGGGTAATCAAAGGGCGTGCATACGCCCTCTTCGCTTTGGATCCGACACTACTGATTAGATGCCTTGTAAATTTTCCATTTTATTCTCGCTACATCTGTTTGTTTTGTATTACAAAGCTTATTTTTTTGGTAAATATAAATGCAAATAACAAAAGGGTTGAATAAGATTGAGAATAGAAATGGGGAATGAGTCAAAGAGACAACAACCCGACCAAAGAGCAGAAAACAGCCAAAGGCCACCAATGGATCTTCAACACAGCGAGAAAATCCTTGAAGTATGGTTTGTCAATAATAACTTTTCAACAGGCAAGTATTGCTGGAATTTTGTTTGCATTTTGCATGCAATTACTACTCTGTTTTTATTTAAATTTACCATGTACATAGTTTATAAAAATCCTTATTTTGTTAAGCTGATTTAACGTTTCTGATGTATTTTCCCTTATCTGTAAGTAATTAAAAAGATTTTGATTTTTGTTGCAGTGTGTGGATCCAGTTATTTCTCAAATCAAGCTAATCTCGATTCGGAGTTTAATGATTTAAGCAACTTGCATGATTTTACAGTTAATAATCAACTTGTTACAAAGGTAATACATGCTATCATAATAAAAAAGGTGTAACAGGAATTGCCAAAAATACTGCACTGTTCAGCTAACATAATCAACCATCAACCCCCAAAATCCGCAAAAAAAACCCAGATGTACAATGTTAAACAACAACGAACAACACATTGTTCAAAAAGCCTGACTTTTTACAGGTACACATTTGGTAGATTAAAATCAGTTTTCAATTAGGTTTTCACACCCCACCCCTTTTCCTTTCTGCCTGTCTAGATCAGATGTCGTAAAATTAGTATTCACAGTAAATATACAGTATGGCTTTTAACTTTAATAATGAAATAAAAAAGGCAAATACATTGGAAGGAAGGATGAAAATATCTCTACAGGAAGTTAGCTAAGGTATACATTGTAAATTATAAAAGCTGTTTTGCTTTCAAAAGTAGATGAATTGTGTCTTTTTGTGGAGTTTGACAAAACTCTTTCCCGAACCAATACCAACTGGCTGCTACCTAGATGTATGTTATGAATCTGCTGAATTAACTTAATTAAGTAAAATAATTATGATAGAAGCAGAGATAGTTTAAATCAACATATTTTTTATAGTTTGTACAGTCTATCAAAATAGATAAAACTAAGTTTATTGAGAGGTTGAAGATATTCATATGGACACCAATTGTGTCACTTCAATAGCAGACTTGTTCCTTTATGGTTATGAAATCTAGTAAAACTCAGTAAAGATTCCTCTAAATTCTGTTTGATAAAAGAACATTGAAAACTCTTTCCGTTATGATATTTTTTCTGTTACATAACTTTGAATTAAATAATTATACTGTTGGTTGTTACCCTTAAACAATGACTTTAAATACATCGAATTCTAATTCCAATATCAATAAATCAGGCCGTTGCATTTTCTTTAGAGTTGTCATTTATCACCCCAGTGCATTTTATAGTAATACGGCATTGGCTTTTCTCATTGATATAGGTAATACGATGACCTGTAACTGTTCACATCTTTGTCTTTTGATCATTATGAATACTAATAGTTGTCTCATTTGAAATCATCTCGGTATTCTTATCAAGAAATGGTAAAAGAAAATTTCTGATATATAATAATTCCAGGAGCTGATTTTATACTTTTAAATGAATTATATATTTTTTTTAATTTATTTATTATTTTTCAGAAATTTGAATTCTATATTATTTTTTTTCAGATTGTTATGGAGCTGTCGTCTTTAGAAAAGATAAACAGCGAGTATTACCTATCCGATTCAAAAATAACGTTTTTAGCTCCAAACGGAAGGGAATTAAATGTAGAGATGACTAAAGGAATGCCGTTTGCTGGATTGACGCCTTTAAATACTACAGAAATTGCGAGTATAGAAGGGCCAAAAGTTTTTAAGTTACTGAAAATGAATCCTTGAAAGCTTCATTAAAACTGCATAATGCTAACATGATATTTGTTGTATTTTTTATACGGTTTGGTTAATATCATTACGATTGGTTGATTTATTGGTTTTTACTACTGTGCTATTTCGTGGCGGTCAGTTTTTATTGGTAGAGAAATCGGAGTGCCCGGAGAGAACCACCGACTTTCGGTTTGAAAACTGGCAAACTTAATCAACTAAGATTGGAGTCAAGTGCACCTTCCAAGTACGAGATTCGAACTCACAACCTCAGTGTTCTTATGCTAGCGATACAGTAGTTTGACTACTTATACCACTCAATTACCGAAGCCCCGCTTAATCATTATGGTTAAATCTAATATTGATACACGCTTGTTTTAAGAATTCAAAACTGATACGATTACTTCAAATAACTGTTAATGGCAACGAAGAAATTGAAACAAGAGAAAGCATATTGATAAAGCTTATAAGGAATGTTCTTATCTTATATACTAAAACGAAGTATTGTTAGTACTATGTTGGATAAAAAAGATACCAAAGGTTAACAAAAAACTCATGAGTAGAAGAAAAAAGGGACAACAGCATGCCCAAAACGAAAAAATAAAAAGACAAACAAAAGTACACGAAATTTTAGTCAGAAACCCATAAATTGAGCAACACGAACCCTATTAAACAACCCATGTACTCAAATGCGTCCGAAGGTTAAGCAGTTCCTGATCAACTGCCGTTACCATGACCAGTTTAACAGTAGTGCTGTTGTGTATATAAACATGAGGCATACTCTGGTTAATTTTAATATGCTCCCTTAGTTTACATTATGTGCAGAGAGAAATTAATCTATTATATATCGGATCTCATTTCTTTTCTGTCTGGTCAAAACTGCACAGATGTTAACTGATTTCCAAAATACCAGTACTTTTCCCCAATATTAACACAGATGGACGACTTCACACTAAAATCTATGACAAACGGGATGATTTCAACTTCCCAATTATCAATTTCCCATTTCTCTGCAGTAACATACCCTCTGCTCCATCGTATGGTGTGTTCATATCTCAAATGATACGTTATGCTCGTGCATGTTCACAATATACTGACTTCATATACAGGAGTGTACTCCTTACGCAGAAACTGCTCCAACAGAGTTATGAGGAGGAAAGACTAAAAATGACAATCCGTAAATTTTATGGACACCATCAAGAATTGGTTGATCTATACGATGTGTCTGTGTCTAAACTAACTAATGACATTTTTACCACGTCTTAGATTGTGGTTTAATATCTATGTTGTCTGTCTGCTAAGTACCAAACGTGACCTATTCCCGAATATGACTGTTATACCGAGAGTGAATTTACTTTGCTGTACGAGTCTCGATATTTGTACATCCAACATTCATGTATTTATTTTTAATGTTTTTGTTATGGTTTCGGTTGAATAACGTGTTATGTCGTATCGTTTGTTGTCCAAAAATGATTATAAAATTGCCTTTCAGTCCCGCCGTTGTCGTGTTCCCGAATGTGGCTGGTGTGCTGATTTTGAGTTTGCACTGCTGTGCGGCGTGTCTCTGTGTTTTGTACATCCAACTTTCATGGATTTATTTTTGATGTTTCTGTTATGGTTTCGATTGAATAATCTGTTATGTCTTATCGTTTGTAGTCCAAATAATTTTAAAATTGCCTTTCCATACCATCATTGTCATGAGGGTTGTTTGGATTAATATTGTATGATAATTGTATGGAGTTAGAGATTAAAATTGAGAATGGAAATGGGGAATGTGTCAAAGAGACAACAACCCGACCATAGAACAGACAACAGCAGAAGGTCACCAACAGGTCTTCAATGCAGCGAGAAATTCCCGCACCCGGAGGCGTCCTTCAGCTGGCCCCTAAACAAATATATATACTAGTTCAGTGATAATGCATGTTAGTTACGTAAGCGCGTCACTGTTTTTGATATCCTGTGGTGTTTAGCGTTGATGGAATATGTTCGTTGTTGTTCTGCGATTTGCATGTTATGTCGACTATTATATAATTTGTTTGTGCGTTTCTCTGTTATGGATGTTCTTGTGTGTGTTTGTGTTGTATTTCTGTCACGTAGTGTTTTAGCGATATTTTTTAACATTGTCATAAAGCGGGAGGTTTGGCATGTCATTAAACCAGGTTCAACCCACCATTTTTTCTTAAAATGTCCTGTACCAAGTCAGGAATATGGCAGTTGTTATCAAATAGTTCGTTTCCATGTGTGTTGGCGTTTGTTTCTGTTTATCCTTTGTTTTCCTATTATAGTTGACGTGTTTTCCCTCGGTTTTGGTTTGTAACTCGGATTTGTTTTCTCTCAATCAATACCATATCAATCTTCCCTTTTTTCATCAAATATGTGGCGGGGTTAATTATATGAAAATAATGAAACATCGAAATGGACATACAATTTTCGATTCGTTACAAAAGACAATAGCATCTAAAGAAAAAAAAACAAAGAAGAAGTTCCATCGGAGTGTTTTAGTGCCTAAAACGAAATCAAAATCCTAGTGCAAGCTTGAGAACTGTAAGAAGATGTGTATCCCAAAAGGCAGACGAGCGAGAAAAAAAATGGACACAGATAGTTTATATAATATTCCCTTATATAGCATCAATACAAACACATTCTTAATTCTAACTTTAAGCGAATCCTCATATCCGGGATCCTTGTATATCAATCTTCAATTTTAACTACAAAATATGCATTATATTTATGTATATTATATTAATTTGACTTTGTATTAAATATATATAACACTGATTAATTTTATGGTAACTGTTGTTGAATGATATATGAGATAAAACTTTTAGAATGTTAACAATGTCTAATCCTTAATTACTTATGACGACATCTTATGTGTTAACTTGGTAAGTTTTGCTTTTACACAACTGTATAAACTGTTAATAATAAAACAATGTATACAACGTTAGAACGATGATTTGCCTCGAAACAATCACTATGAGACCATCATAACCGACATTTGAATTTTGTCCTCAATTTCAGATTATTAATTGTTTACAGGAAAAATGTCATTAAAATAAGCTAGTACGTTACATTTGATGACCTAACCAGTTCATATCACTGTTGATAACGTTCATTCTTATTTCTTCCTCATACAGTCGTGTTTGTCCCTAATAGTGTTTTAGTTGACTAATGCAATAACAGTTTCCTTTATGAGGAAGTGAAACACATTGTAACATGTCAAATCATTTCCCTTGTTTTGTTTGAAATAAACAATGAAAATCAAATTATTTGTGGCAATTTAGCAAAATTTCACTTTATTTTCCCTACAGTTGTTTGCTAAGAGCTTTTAATTTCTGTTTGTCTAAAATTTGACTAAAATCAAAAATTTAAAATCTTTGCTAATGTTTTAAGTATTCGTCAAAAGATACTATTCTTACGGATTTAACAACGTAACATTTTTTGTTTATTAAGTCGAAGTTCGGAGTCGGAGACTATGAAATATCTTTCAAAAACATCAAATTCCCTAAGTACCGAAACGCAACGGAATAAACCAAAACTAAAGAAATGTATAAAAAGAGGGGCAAGTGATTCCAGAGGAACATTCAAACTCATATTTCGAAAATAAACAGACAAAGTCATGGCTAAAAAAAAAGGACAAACAATTAAACAATAGTACACAAAACACAACAAAGAAAACTAAAGACTGAACAACACGAACCCCACCAAAAATCTGAGGTGAGCTCAGGTGCTCCGGAATGGTAAGCAGATCCACATGTGGCACCCGTCGTGTTGCTCATGTTATTACAAACCCGGGTATAAGTCTAATTCAGTAGGTTACATTCGGGAAAAAGGTACGGGATTGTAGTTACGACATTAGGAACATATCCGTTATCATCTGTGTAACGGATATTCCATAACGGTAAACCAACTCGTGATGGTGTCCGTAAAACTTACGAAAGAATGACTTCAACTTCACCACTTGGAAATCTTGGTTTAATAACTTACTTGTGATCAGCAACCTTCTATCAAGGAAATCATGATCGGAAATACAAGCATTGGAATATCGTTTCAAATTGGATATATATACTCGTATGCATGCGCTGCTGGAATGTTGTTACAACGAAATGAAAAGTTCACAATTCATCTCTTTTGTCGTAAAGTTTTGTTTTCAACTGACCCTCATTGTCAATTCTAGGTGCAAGTCAAGATATGAGGCAGACTTAACTGTATCTGTTGTATCCTTTATCTCAAGTTCAATGGGATAGATTCGTTTAACATAGTCACCAAATTTTGACTTTATTTAGTTAGAGAACATCATCTATATAGCGGAAAGTAAAGTTAAAGGATACTGCTTACAACTTTTCTTTCTTCTTAAGAAGTTCCTGTATGAAGTTAGCCTAATATGAATAAAGGAATACGTGGGCAAGAAGTGGGGCACAGTTTGTTCCCATGGGAATGCCGATTGTTGTTGAAAAACACGTCCCCAAAAGTAACAAATATGTTGTCAATCAAGAAATCAAGCATCTTGATAATGTCAGTTTCAGAAAATTTGTTGTCAGAATCAGTGAATTTTTACAAAGTAGGATTTTTTCCCTCCCGAAGACAAGATACTTGTATCTACGTTGGCCATTCTTTTTTATGAAACAAAAAAGGACCAACTCTTTCAATTTGTCTTTTGGTTTGAAATGGGAAATACTTGTTTAAAATATTTTGAAAAGTCAAATCATTGCAAAATGAAAAATACTTCAGTGTATGTTTACTTGTGTTAATATGTCTTTTGATTGAGTTAAGCCATTTCAATTGATATTTTAAAGAGTGTCTTTTTTATGTTGTGATGTTGTTTCAGATAAGGGCGAAGGTTGGTAACTATTAAAACGTTTAAACCCGCTGCATTTGTTTGCACCTGTCCTAAGTCAAGAATCTGATGTTCAGTAGTTGTCGTTTGTTGATGTGGTTCATAAGTGTTTCTCGTTTCTCTTTTTTTATATAAATTAGACCGTTGGCTTTCCCGTTTGAATGGTTTTACACATGTAATTTTTGGGGCCCTTTATAGCTTGCTGTTCGGTGTGAGCCAAGGCTCCGTGTTGAAGACCGTACTTTGACCTATAATGGTTTACTTTTACAAATTGTGACTTGGATGAGAGAGTTGTCTCATTGGCACCACATCTTCTTATATCTATTAGATTGTGTACTCTAAAAGGAACTTTTGAATGTTGTAGATGCTAGTAAGGATATGAGACAGACTTAACTGTATCTGTTGTAGCCTTTATCTCAAGTTCGATGGGATATAAATCAATCAACATAGTCACCAAATTTTGAATTATTTAATGAGAAAACATCATCTATACAGCGGAAAGTAAAGTTAAAGGATACTGCTAACTTCTTTTCTTTCTTCCTAAGAAGTTTCTGTATGAAGTCAGCCTAATATGAATAAAGGAATACGTTGGCAGAAGGGGGACTGTTATACAAGTGAGAGGTTTAGCTAGCTATAAAACCAGGTTTAATCCACCATTTTCTACATAAGAGAATGTCTGTACCAAGTCCGGAATATGAAAGTTGTTATCCATTACTTTGATGTATTTGAGCTTTTGATTTTGCTATTAGATTAGGGACTTTCCGATTTGAATTTTCCTCGGAGTATTTTTGTGATTTTACTTTTTGCTAGAGAATTGAGCATCTTTTATTAAAATTCCACAGGTTTTGCAGCCATTGCCTTCACATTTCGAAATGAGACAGTGTTGTTCAGTGTCATCAAAATCCAAAATATAAGTATCACTTTCGATGACAATAATTACAGCAGGATCAAATACAAATGCGACGTTCAATTTTACCCATGTGACATGTGAGCCAACGGAGTCAGTTGTCATTTGGGACTTTCCGTTTTGAATTTTCCTCAAAGTTCACTATTTTTGTGATTTTTTTTTTGCACCAGTACAGGTTTTAAAGTTATGACTCATTGGTGATGATTGACAATCGTGCTACAAATAAATCTAGTTGTTCACAACTATGAAATTGAAGTCTATGATTTTGATTTAATAATTTGTAGACAGTATTTAATTGTTGTGAAGCTGGCATGTTTATAGAATAATTGCTTTGTATCATACTGCGAAGCGTTTAGTCTCAGTCGATAAACCTGCCAACTTATAGAATAATTAGTAAGCAACAGTTAGTTCTGATTGGTTGCTTTTTGGTGTGGCTTAGATCTATTGACTTGAATGAGTTATAAAGCTCGGACTACGTCAGGAAGGGGAGGAGAATCATATACGGATGGTCTGACAGTATGGGTATTCGTGACTCGATTGATGAATATATTGCTATGGATAATCGCTGATAGTCAAAATTGATGCATTTGCAATTGAGCATTTACCATGCTTTAATCTGTTTTACACGATAGGTTTTATTTACATCACAGTCTATGATGCGTGACGTATGCTGTTAATATCGTATCATCAGTCAGTGTATATAATGAACGAACTTTATAGCTATGCTCAAAGATAGGTTTACTTGATGCTGACATATATGCAATTATAAGATACTTATTTTAAGTATTTTCTTAAATTATCAGATTATAAAATTTGCAAAAATCATCGGTACATTGTTAATTCAAACTCAAGCATCAATTTATGGGTTACCCTCGCTGTGTACTTTTGATAAAGTCGGGAGTATCAATTTACTTGTACCTGACAAAGATATTTAATTCATTTGACAAAGTAAAAATATTCAGTCAGAATTATCGGTATCGCGTGTCCGTCTAATCAAGAAGATGCGAAATATCAACCTCCTTCGTTTAATGAATAATATGTTAGTTTAACTATTTTTATGTGACATTTGTTCTTTCACAGTCACTTATTATTGACCACCAGAACGGAGCCTATTCCATTCTAGGTCAAATTTTGTATCATATGACAGACTTATGAAACTGAAATCAAAATAAATGATCCGAAAAAATAATAAATACTTTTTTTTCCTTTATGAATAAACAACACAAAAAGTAAAGCTGACATTAATTTGTGATACTGCGAAGTACTCCATACCTTATTGGGAATGTTAAACATGTGAAAACATGTAAAATATGGATTAAAGTAGGAGGTGAGCACAAGATTTGTTATGTAGCATAGCCTTTAGAAGCTTGTTAGATGGCACCCAAATCGACCCTTCTGCAATTTCAGGTGCATTCGGTAGGATGGAATGGTTTCCCGAAATAATTTATTTCAACTTCATTCCTAAATTTTAAAAAAAGTGATAGCATTTGAAAGAACGTTCTTACGAAAATATAAAAATAATCAACCGAGTATTTTGGACAATTTTGGAGCCTCACTCCATATCCTGAAGATCGAAAAGCATAATAATTCATGTATTCCAATGAACTCGTTTGTGAAATGACCAGAAAAGACATTTCTATACTATTCAGCATATAAAATAATGGATATAAAAATAGTTTCCTTATTCAATTTTTAACAGGAAGACAGAAAATCAAAATAAGTGTTGTTACCTTGTATGTAAAACCGCAATTTGCCCAGTGTAGTATTGGTTGGCCAATTTATCAGATGAGTGTATCTAAATAGTGTTGGGTTGCTTGATAACTGTTAAGGTTAGTAAATAATAAAACAATTCAAAGCCAATTTGATATTTTGATATTAAACTGTGAATGAATATATAGCATTATTCGTAGTCGATGAAATGGAAATGCAAAGCTCTGTATATTATTTCCATATTGCAATTAAGACAAATGTTTATGTACAATTATAATATTTCAGTTTTTTATATATAACTAATTAAGGATTGGTTAAAAACATATGCAACTATCATGTTTGCATAGTTCAATTTGTTCAGTAGGGAATGAAGCTTTCGAAAAATGTAACTCCAGTAAACATTAGCTATATGAATTTTCGATTTGCTTTATAAGAGGCTTAAATTTGGAAATTTATTTTTAAATATGTTCGTATTTTTTTCAGATTACCAACAAAAGAAATGTTGTCTTCATTAAGAACTATGTATGCTTTGTTATACATATGTTTACGCTTACAAATTGGACAAACAGATCCTTGCAAATTTGACGAGCGATGTCAGTGTAGTAAAACGAGCAAAGGATATGTAACTGTAGATTGTTCGTGGAAAAACATAACAAAAATCCAGAACTTACCCAAGTCTACTGTATGTTTAAACGTATCACACAATTTGATTGAATACACTAGCAAAAGATTTTTCGAATCTGCCAAATATCTCTCAACATTAGACTTATCATTCAATAAATTGTCATCAATAACTGTCGCTACATTCAATGGTCTCTGGAAATTGCGTTACCTTTCTCTTGACAATAATGAATTGGTTTACAACAACCATACTTTTCAAAAGGAAACCTTTAGAGACTTGAAATCTCTTTCTCATTTAAGTTTGAAAAATAACAATATCAGGTCTAATGACTGTAAACGTCTTCCGGATGACACAATTATGCAATTGTCTGCTCTAGAAAAGCTGGAATTGGATGCTTGTGTTTGTGGAGATGATATTTTCGGGAAAGGATTCCACTACCTAAAGAAATTGAAATCATTGGTAATACGGAACAATTTTATCTGTTCAATGTCAAAATACACATTCAGGAATACTAAAAATCTGCAAAATGTTCTAATACATGGGATTGGCGAAATATCATTTCGAAAAGGAACATTTCGACACTTAAGATACCTAAAGCATCTTGAAATGTCTTTTGATTCCAAAAAAGGTGGTATAGTGTCGCCAGTAGAGAAAATTGCAAAAGACTTTATTTACACCTCAATCGAAACTTTAAAACTGGGTCAGTTAAAAATACCTTTACACACATTTCCTTTGTACATTCTTAATAAAGAACTGTATAAAAACAATATCACTGAAATATGCCTTACAGACAACGCGGGAAAAGGAGGACATTTTCCAATACCTATGGGTGCTCCGCCACAAACTCTTCAAATTTTGGATTTATCAAACAACAGTCTAACTCGATTTATACTTGATATAAAAAACTTTACTCGTCTTATTTTAAAGCAAAATTTACTAGGTGATTTCTTATCGACGGAATCTTATTTTGAAAAGAAAACTAACGAGTATTTCAGTATGATTGAAACTATTGATATATCTCAAAATGACATAAAAGAACTTGCACCATTCACATTTTATTCTCAACCATTATTACATCATATTGATTTAAGTAACAATAAAATACAAGACATCACATTCGATTTGTCCTGTTTGTTGGCCCTCGAATTTCTGAATCTCTCGAATAATAGAATCAAGTTTTTTAATGAAAGTGTTATGCGTACTATTAACACATTAGTGATGAACAAACAGCTTACTATAGATCTTTCTCAAAATTTATTGCAATGTACATGCAAGACAATTCCATTTTTACGATGGATGATCGAAAGCAATGTCTTATTTGTTGACCTTCAAGAGTACAGCTGTACTTTAGAAGATGGTAGCATAATTATCTTGAATCCGTTCGAATACAAAGTCCTTCAGTTAGAAAAAACCTGCAAATCGTACCTAGGACTGATAATAGGTGTATCATTGGCACTCCTAGTTGTTATCATGACTGTTTTCACAACTTTAGTGTATCGATATCGGTGGAAAATACGATACATGTACTATATGACAAAAGGAAAGTACAGCTATCAGAAAATATCGCCCGATAATGACGATGAATATACGTATGACGCATTTATATCATACTCCGAAGATGACAGAAGTTTTGTCTTTAACGACTGCATTGAAAAACTTGAAAAAGAAGAAAACTTCAGGCTATGCATACATCAACGCGATTTTATGCCCGGACAAGACATCACTGTAAACATAACAAATTGCATTCACACAAGTAGAAAAACAGTCTGTTTGATAACAAAAAAGTTTCTCGAGTCATATTACTGCATGTTCGAATTCAACATGGCACGTATGGAGAGTATTTATTCACGACATGGAAGAAACATTTTATTCCTTGTGTTTTATGAACAAATTCTGCCTAAAGAACTTCCACTTGTCATGCTAGAACTAGTCCAGAAAGAGTCTTACATGGAATACCCTAATGACGAACAAGGAAATGTTGTTTTCTGGGAAAAAATACAAGAAACGTTAAGGACAAACGTTCGAGCATGAGTTTTAGCGATAAATCGAAACAGGGAGGTTCATGTTTCATTTTGCTTCCAATAGAATAACTCATCATCTCATGAAGATTTATTGCTTTGTTCCAAGTTATGTAAACTGCATTCTGTTCAGAAATAGTTCATCTGATTTTGTTTATAGTAAAATAGTATTGTTTTTCTTCTCTTCTTTAGTTTTTTAGTTTAACTTGTATAATACCAGTGGTTTATAATTACTAGACAACAAAGGCAGGGTCATATGCGCAAAGTGGAAGCCAAATATTAGTATGAGCTCAAATTTACCTCGTGGATTTACATTTAGTCTACATAAGTTAAATTAATAAATTATCAACACCGGATGCATAGGCTAATACCTTTATGTTTGCCAAAGAAAAAAAAACTTATGTATAATGTAAGTTGGTAGTCGCGAAGTTAGGAATAATCGTAGAGATAACATGGGAAGTAAACTTTAAGTTCAATTTTATATATTTTTCATATTTGTTTGTTTGTTTTTGTTTTTTTTCATTTTTCTGTTTATTAAAGTGTTATTTCTATATATTATTTTATAAGAAATGTGTTTTTTCAATCTTTCTTTTCGAATTTTGCAAAGAATGTAAATTAAGGTCTGAGTAAAATAATTTTTCTACCAAGAATTTCAGATTCATGTGACAGTTTGTTCAAATACTCCTTATTTTTTAAATTAGGGGAAGACAAGAATTGTAATTATGAAATTGCATAGCAATAAATCGGGGGAAAAACACAATGGACAGGCGTTGGTTCATTAACAAGATACTGATACAATTTGTCATCAGGGCTCATGTTGTCTTTTTGACGTTTGCTTTTTTTGTAGTTCAACGTATCTGGTGTTCCGTTGTTTTCCTTATATAGTTGATGTGTTTCTCTCGGTTTTAGTTTGTTAACCGGATTTTGTTTTGCTTACTCGAATTATGACTATGGAACAGCGGTATAGTACCACTGTTTTTCATTATAACTCCTTTATTATGGCCCAAAACCATATTTGAAAAGAAGTATTATATATACCTGTATATAGTCTGTATATAGGCGGCCTTCTGCCTACTCTTTGGTCGGGTTGTTGTCTCTTTGGCACATTCCCAATCTCTCAATTTTAGTATATTAAATGTTTACCTCATAATTCTTTTTAGAGTTGTTCTCATTGTTTAAAATCATAACTGTGATTGTATCAATTTTTGTATAAAGTTATGTAAATAGAGCGGTGAGACTATAATAAAATATTTGTATGTGTGATGTTTTTATCTTGTATCATAGAGAAATGTTAGGAAAGGTAAAATTTCGTTTAATATTGGATGTTGAACTTTTCCCATCTAATCAAATGGTTTTTACTGGTAAGTTTTGTGATGAATATCAATTCGTTAATCCATAGTTTAAATAAAAATTGTTTGTTTCTGTTTTTCTGCATTGAAATTCGTTATACAAACATTGAACGTTATTGCTATAGATAACTGTTTTGAGTCGTTAAAGAATAAACAGAATTAAAAGATTATCTTATAATCAAAAGATATTCCTCAGTTAAACATTGATAAACTAGCCAACCACAATCTTAATTATTTAATATGAATATAATTTTAGTCCTTCACACTATTTTTCTACTATAAAAGATGGCCCCTACAAATATTTTGGAGTTATATTCAGCTAGTGAAAATCAGAATTAGATTCTTAAAAAGTAAATTTACCTCAAAATCTCCAATTGCAAACTTTTCAATTTTGCAGTGATGTGTAATATCAAAATGTTTTATTTGTCTGAAGTCTACACTGCTACCTCCCATGCAGAATTAATGATCGAAAACATCGTCTCATAAAACACAGAGCATTTTCTACAAAAACAAAAATTCATTTCTCCGAAGCTGATGTCATCAACATTTAATTGACAGCATAATCGTTGAGCTAAGAGGATTGAGAGTTTAAAAATAGACGGTATTCTAATAAGTACTATTTTTCCGCCCTTGGATTGTTTTTTGTACTGATACGAAGCAGAATGAATACAGAGCCTTTTCAAAGAAAAAGAAATGCATCTTGTAAAGTTCTTAAATTCACTTTGTATCAATATAATCCACATTTCGATGATGTCCTATATCTCATATATCCTAGTGGAATTGAAATTAAGGAGACTACCGAAACTAGAAGGCCTGCTATTTATCTTGATATTTAACTCGAAATTGAAACATATGGATGACTTCAAACAAGAATTTATGAAAAAAAGATATGATTTCAACTTTCACTTTATCAACTTCCCATTTCTCGACAGTGAAATACCCTCTTTACACAACTTCAAAATACTGATGGATTCAGTCGAGGATAATGCCAGGCAATGGGGTAAACACGAGAAAGAAGAGGTAGATACTTTTTCCGAATGGATTAAGGCTGTGAGATCGTTGATATAAATAAGAATTAAGAAACTGAATGGGTCTATCAATACCCATGCTACGTGAATCTTTAAAGACCCAAATGCTGCAAAACACTAGTCCTACCCCCATGACAAATATGTTGTTGGCCCCGCAGATAAAGCCCCAAACAACATCGTTTTTGTGTGTAAATCACATTACATAAACAGCTTGATAAATGAATTAGGTATTGACAATTCACTTGGAAACTCAACATATACCCCCACGACACTTACTAAAGAGGAAATCCTGGATAATCATAGGTCTGTTCTATGATCCTTTGGAATTTCAACCAAAGATGAAGAACTGGATCTTCCATCACTGTATTGGATACCTTAACTACATAAGTGCCCTTACAAACAACGGTATATTGCTGGGTCTTCCAAGTGCCCCACGAAACCTTTTTCTAAATTATTAACATCAATTTTATCAGCAATCAAAGCCGGGCTTCAAAGTTATTGTGAAACTGCCTATTCTAGAGGTGGCGTGCATCAGATGTGGATACTAAAAAATTCCAAAGATCTTTTAGAGAACATACAATCTAAGACTCTTTCATCTATGAGTTTGACTATCCCTCTGGTATATTTCGCCCCTCTTTTGGAATAGTATTAAAACATTTGACTTTTCTACACTTTACACAAGTACTGTGGATTCATTATTATTCGTTGGGTACCAATTTTCGTGGATTTCGTGGTTACTCGGAAACCACGAATTCCAATGTCCAACGAATAACAATTTTTCTATAAGAATGTAAGCAGACTTTGGCAAAACCACGAAATCAAATATCCACGAAAATGCAAGTTTTCTTAAATCCACGAAAATTGGTACCCACGAAAATAAATGAATCCACAGTATTCCCAATTCCAAACTAAAAGACATTGAAAGAGTTGGTATTGCCTTGTTTCATAAAAAAGAATGGCCAACGCAGATACAAGTATCTTGTCTTAGGGAGGGATGAATCCTACTTTGTAAAAAATCACTCTGATTTAAACAAAAAATTCTTTGAAACTGACATTATCAAGATGCTTGATTTCTTGATTGACAACATATTTGTTACGTTGGAGGACGTGTTTTTCAACAAACAATCGGCATTCCCATGGGAACCTATTGTGCTCCTCTTCTTCTCGACTTGTTCTTTTATTTTTATGAGGTTGACTGCATACAAAAAAAACTTCTTAGTAAGAAAGAAAAGAAGTTAGCAACATCCTTTAACTTTACTTTCCGCTATATAGATGATGTTCTCTCATTAAATAATTCAAAATTTGGTGACTATGTTGAACTCATCTATCCCATCGAACTAGATATAAAGGATACAACAGGTACAATTAAGTCTGTCTCATTTCTTGACTTACATCTAGAAATTGACAATGAGGGTCGGTTGAAAACAAAACTTTACGACAAAAGAGATGATTTCTGCTTCCCAATTGTGAACTTTCCATTTCTATGTAGCAACATTCCAGCAGAGCCTGCATACGGAGTATATATCTCCCAATTGATACGATCTTCCCGGGCTTGGATTTCTTATCATGATTTGCTTGATAGAGGATTACTGCTCACAAGGAAGCTATTAAACCAAGAGTTCCAAATGGTGAAGTTGAAATCATCCCTTCGTAAATTTTAAGCTAAAAACTTTAACCTGAACCGGCACGAACGGACGGACGAACAGACGAGCGAACGGACGGACGAACAGACGATCGAACGGACGGACGAACAGACGAACGAACGGATGTACAGACCGAAAAACATAATGCCCATAAATGGGGCATAAGAATACTATGAAGTTGTAATTTTCCGAAACAAAACGCATACGATGACTGGAGTATAATTGTCGCATTGGCAATCATACCGCATCTCCTCCTTTTTTATATGATACTTAAAACCTTCATCGGTGATCTTCATAATTTCAAAACATGATTTTTTTCTGGTTCACTCATTTTAAATGATTTCAGGAAGTAGTAATGTGTTTGATATTATTTTTTTTAATAATTGATCACTATTACAGTGTCATTCTTCCGATTGTTGATACTAATAAGGACTAAGTTGTATTAACAGTTTTATAGTATTACGACTTTTTGAAATCGGCTTAAACGAGAATGAAATAAAACAGTACATGTAGCAAATAAAAATTTCATACATTTTCATCCATGATTAGTGTGTTTCTGCATGCAATAAAGACATGTTTGTACTTATTTGTCAGTTTTTATTTTCGATCTATGAGTTTGACTGTCCCTCTGGTATATTTTGCCTCTCTTTTGTCAATACCTTCGCTCAACTAATTACACTTCGTATGTAACCGAAAATAGCAATGATGCAAAATGTTTGAAAACCTATGTAAAAATATAATGTTTGCTTCTTGGTAAGGAAAAATCAAGAAAAGCTTTTCGGATGCAGGGAATTTATAGAGTATTATTATCATCATATAATACACAGAATGCATAAAAATAGTTATAAATGCAACACTTAAAATTTTTAAATACAAAACTAAATAAAAACCCCTATATACATCTAAAACCAAGTATTTACTTAAGCAAAAAAGCTAAAATAATTTCCATGACATATTTTAATCTGTTCTATATGTACTACAAAAACATCCTAACATAATAAGTACTATTCTTTATCAATGTAAAGCGGTATTTCATATCAAATATAGATGTTATTAAATTATGGACGGAATTCATTACTTATATCACAACTGGTTTGACTACTTATATCACAACTGTGATGACTACTTATATCACAACTATAATGGCAGACATTTTTCCCAG